AGTTAACAGCGAGAAGGAGAGAGGTAGAACAACGGACCAGTTACAGCATCATGCCAACAGACAGTTTTGTAGTGAAACATGGCAGTAGAATCGTACAAAAAAAATCCAGTTGAAATCAGTTAATCTGTAAACAACACAAATGATAAACAACTGCATCCAAGGAAATACATTTGGCTTTGTGTTATTTATTCATTCGTATATTCCTTATCTTACATAAAAAGCAATAAAAGAGAACATGACATCACTCCTTTGGTTGCAGCAGCATGGCCTGGCTTCGTGTGATTGCCGTGTCAATTTGATGGGTTGATTATATGATTAAAATCTTTGAGGCATTTGTCAGAGATGGAATCATGAAAATATGGTAGTGGATTTACAGGCACAACAGAGTAAATAAAGAAGTTGGTGCACTTGAATTGACAATGAATCAATCAATTGTCAGATCATGCAGAGTCATGGGTGAGGAACAGAAAGGTAATTTAATATCCCTCAGGTGACCAAGTGTGCATTCATAATTCCTTTAAAACCCTTTAACTGTCACCTGTCCCCTCTGTGGGACGCCTAAGTTTACTTCACTATATTACAATGAAATCCTAATCTAATCATGACAAACTATATATCGTTGGAAAGGTCTAAGACTCCTAAATAGATTTTTTACCAATGTTTTTGTTAAAAAATTATGTAGGAAAAGTAATAGATTAATTTTTGACAAGAGTGCACCTCAAAAATCTACATCATAACAGGAGTTCTGACCTTTGTAGCAAAAAGTCTTCTTTGTTGCCTTTTTCTCTATCACACTTTAGAAATCATCAGAAATTATATATCAATTGAAAACTTGAAATCTCAAAATTCCTCCTTTGAAACCCATTTTAAAATCAAACATTGCATTACCATGAAAATGGTACATCAATATCATGTTACAAAATGTTTTCGTTCATGAATTATAAAAATTTAAGTTTGGATCGTGCACTTTCACGTCTATGTTGAAAAATGTGTGTGACAGTTATTAAAACCTATGTATTTCTTACTAAGAAACACTGGTGACTTGTTTTCATGTTCCGATAGTCCACTACAAAACAATCGGCTAAGCAACAAGACTAACACTGCTACAACTTTACAGTAAAATTGAAGTACTCTGAGGTTATTTTCAATCCAATTCGATAACTGAAATGCAAGATGGCACCAGTTGCTTTTTTATAAAATAAGAATGAGTCTGCGATGTGATAAAGATACACAAAATTAGCACCGGTTTTAGTAATCTGCACGATGCCAAGACAGGCTTAAAGTAATCGTGAGATGAGGCGGACAAACAAAAACAAACGAATGAATGAAATCAAATAAACACAAGACACAAATCTGTGGCCTCAGTTTCACAATCCATTCCCACGGATCTGCAAAATCTTTGGGAACGGATTGCAGAAGTCTCTTACAGGTGACTTCCCGGGCTCAATACCTGACAAATATGAGCGCAATCAAATTTCAAGTTCATAATCCTTAACGAGTTCTGCAGTGACTTTTGTCACAGTCAGAATCTCCTAATTACTTGATCACCTGAACATACTTGAAGATAAAGGAAACGTTTATGTTTGACATCATTTTGCTTCATGATTCAAAAAAAAATGAAGGAAGGTGAATGATTACATGTCTGAAATATTCTCACCAAGCCAAAGCGATACCATTACAACCAAAGGTGCATTTATCTGAAAATAACAAATAGATATCATACAGGCTGCAAAGTTAAATCCCTCCCCTATATAATTCTTAAATAAATAAATGGGCACATATTATTTCATGTGAGCAACTTTTGGAGTTCTGTATGCTTCACGTAATATAAGAACTTATGACACCGAATAAAAATATAACAGTTATGTTTCAGTTTTACGGTTGGTTTATGCAATGATGTAGACTCTGTTGTTATGTATTGTTATACAGGCTAGTATAAAACATTATATTAAAACATTAACCTTATGACATACAACAAGATGTTTAAGAAAGTGTGTATGATTTTTTTTCAGTCACAAAAGGTACACAAATACTGTACACAAAAATCTGTCAGAGCCTCCTCAGGAGCCCAGCAGTGAAATAATATGTACCCCAAAATATGCAGGAGGGAGTGCACACAATTCTGTAGAAAAATAAACATTGTCCCAACATTGCATAAAGAATCAGTCAATAAATCAATTAATTCAAGTCAATACACTTCATATAGCTATTAATGCTATTTCTTCTTCTCAAGTTTGTATTACACACAATCATCAAAGGTGAACCGTGTGTCCTCCAAAGAAACCGTCGTAATAACTGGTAGACATTGTTTTCTTTTTTCTATTTTTTTTTTTGTTTAAATCCTTAGTGAATCATGCATGACATCACAATGCAGGATGATGTAGTTACTTCTGTTTCTGAACCGGACGTCTGCTCCTACTTTGGGACGCATATGCTTCATGTTCGTTTACGAACAAATACACAGTCAATGCAAAATTTGTAGCATCATAGTTACTGTATAATCAGTGACCATGAGAATCAGGAAGACGTCTGTGCAGTTCGAAATTCCAAATGGCCTGAGTTGTTCATTGAACTCGAATCAAAGTCCATTTCCATTCTCATTCTGCGGAAACATTTTCCCTTGTTATCTTGGTAAAGGATATTTACAGCATGTCAATCCAGGTCCTGTTCTATTCTTCCCTTGATAGATAGTGAAAAGAACTGTAGGCAATGGAATACATATTTTGGAACAGAAATTACGACATGCTTTATTATAAAAATAAAGTAGTCATCAAGAACTGGTCCTGCAAGTGTAACAATAAGTACATGTACGAGTCGCCAACAGGACTGTTCTGACAAAAATGTTTACTGTAGTATTCTTCTATTTTTGTAATTTGAGGTTATGAGGCATCACCTATCCATCTTTTTCCTCTCAGTTGTCATTTATCATGAAAACAAGCTAATAACAAATAATTTGATCAGAGTTCATTTAATCTAGATATTTCAAAACCATCCTGAAGCCAATGTTTGACTAAACCAGAGCAAAAACAAAAATTTCCATGTGATTAAAAGAAAATGAGAAATCTGGGATCAGAACTCAAGTTCAGGGGGAAGTGACTTTTTGTCTCATAAAACAATTTTCAATCTAAAAGGCATATGTCCTTCTCCCAACAACCAATGCGAGTGCAAAAAAGAGTGGACATTGAAAGCGCTTTCACATGCACAGCGCTAGCCTTACGTGATGGAGGTGTGTGACTGGCCCGAATAATGAGGGATCGATGGATTGTACTTCAGAAAAAAGGCTGAAAAGTTAGAGAAGGGCTCGT